GCAGAGGAACGGCTAACGTTACATCAGTTCAGCGAGTTCACAAAAGTTAATTTGCATGTGCTTAAAGCCTTGCCGGTTAAACATGTTTGCGTTCACTGCTGATGCGCTGTTCTGAGACTGCGGTCAAGTGTGGGCCGCACGTGGAAAATACACGGTCAAGCCAGCCGCACCCGGTATCACGACAAGACGTGAAATAATCACGTTGGTCCACTTTGGAAAACGTGTAGATGTCACGGTTTAACAAAACCATAATAGGGCTATACTGCCCTCTTGTGTCAAATTATATTTTTATATTTATTTTTCCAACAAATAAAACCAAACCTATAATAAAAACCCATCCAATAAACCCTTGAACTTAACAGACTCAGTGGTTCAGTTGATAAAGCATTGGGATTCAATCAAGAAAACCTGAGTTCAAATCCCATTGTTGCATTAAATTGTTGTGATTTTATCAAACAAAGTGGCCAAAACAACATTTCTCCAGCCGACAAGATGTGAAATAATCACTTGGTTCACTTTGGAAAATGTGTAGATGTCACCCCAGATAGCAGACTGACATTGAATCAACGTGGAAATATGACATAGAAACAACGTTGATCTGACATTGTTTTGCTCATCGAATTAACGTTGAACCAACGTCAGACGCGTCATTCTTTCAAAACTAACGGAAAATCAACTTGAAATCAACGCGTTGTTTCAACGTTATGAAAGCAAACCAATTTTCGATTTCATTTAGCTTTGAAGAATGCCGCGTCTGACGTTGGTTCAACGTTAATTCGATGAGCAAATCAACGTTGTTTCAATGTCATGAGAGACGTCGTTTCCATGTTGATTCAATGTCAGTTTGCTGTCTGGGACGGTTTCACTCCCTCAAACGTGAAATTTAAACTTAAACTTTTACCATATTGGTTTTCATCAAACCGAGAAAAATGGGATTTTGTTTTATTGACGATCACTGAAAAATGGTCTATTGTTAAAAATGCAAAAAACATTTATTATTTTCAAGGTGAAAAGGATTCATTTGCCTTGATCCACGCCGAAGAAAACGAAATATCACGTTTTTAATGAAGCAGCTTAATGAGTAAATGTCTATTTTTCCAGGGTCCCCCAGCTCCTCGTTTGAGCAAAAGGTACCCTAAAACAACGTATTACATTGACGTTAAGCCGCGTTAACCTTGTTAACCATAACCTTTTAAATACTCGACCTAGTTCCGTTGTTTAGCAACGGGATTCCTGTAACTTCAAGTGCCCAACCCGGTATCACGACAAGACGTGAAATAATCACGTTGGTCCACTTTGGAAAGCGTGTAGATGTCACGGTTTAACAAAACCATAGGGCTATACTGCCCTCTTGTGTCAAATTATATTTTTATATTTATTTTTCCAACAAATAAAACCAAACCCAAACCTTTAATAAAAACCCATCCAATAAACCCGACAAGACGTGAAATAATCACTTGGTTCACTTTGGAAAATGTGTAGATGTCACGGTTTCACTCCCTCAAACGTGAAACTTGCACTTAAACTGAAACTTAAACTTACCATATTGGTTTTCATTAAACCGAGTAAAATGGGATTTTGTTTTATTGACGATCACTGAGAAATGGTCTATTATTTAAAATGCAAAAAACATTTATTATTTTTCAAGGTGAAAAGGATTCATTTGCCTCGATCCACGCCGAAACAAAACGTCTTAATGTCACGTTTTTAATGAAGCAGCCTAAATGGTCCACTTTGGAAAACGTGTAGATGTTACAGTTTAACCCCCTCAAACGTGAAACTTACACGTTTGCGTTAACACGCTCCAGTGGAGAGATACCCGTGTTGACCTATTCTACACGCAATCGCCTCTGCCATAACGACCTATAGGTTTCATTAAACCGAGAAAAATGGAAATTTTGTTTTATGTAGCCTACGATCACTGAGAATGTTCTATTATTTAAAATGCAAAAAACATTTATTATTTTCAAGGTGAAAAGGATTCATTTGCCTTGATCCGCGCCGAAGAAAACGTCTAAATGTCACGTTTTTAATGAAGCAGCCTAATGAGTAATGTCTATTTTTCCGCAGAGGCGGACAGAGTACACAGCTTTATTACTTTAGTAAAAGTACAGATACCCCTTGCTAAATTTGACTCAAGTACAAGTAAAAGTACTACAGTCAGATGTCTACTTGAGTAAAAGTACTGAAGTACTTGTTTTTAAAAGTACTAGAGTATCAAGAGTACAAAAGTACATTTTCTAAATATTGCATTACAACTGCCACAGTGCTTACATTTATGGACCGAAACGTCCTACATGGAGTTATGAAAAATGTTAAAGTCAATACCTTGGAGAATGTAAAAGGAATTGAAAGTAAAATCAAGTCGTATTCATCTTTTTACCATGTTGCTTTATTTAACATTTAAGAAAATTTCAGAAAATTCAGAAAATTGAAATAGTCTGGCGAGGTGGGGCCACGGGTTGGGACATTCCCGGGATGGACCTGCTGCATCTTCATCCATTGGTTTCGTCCGTCCATGGTTTGGTCTCTTATATAAATCTGACCATGGAGTTGACTTTGCCGGAAAGCTGAAGGTGATTGCTGATAGGTTGTCCCAATCAGTGGATCCTGCACAATCCAATCACGTTTGAGAGGGAAACAACAATTTGAGGGTTTCCGAGATTTTTCTTATTTCCATTTTTTTTTTTTTTTTTTTTTTTTAGAAGTAGTTACTTTTTACTCATGGTTATGGATAGAAATGTATTGGAGTAAAGAGTACAATATTTCACTCTCAAATATACTTGAGTAAAGTCATGAGTACTCCCCAAAAATGATACTCGAGTAAAGTACAGATCCTTCAAAATTGTACTTAAGTACTGTACTCATAACCTGCTTTCTGGAATACCCCACTTTTGAAAACGTGTAGATGTCACGGTTTAAACCCCCTCAAACGTGAAACTTACACTTAAACTGAAACTTACCATCACGACCTATTGGTTTTCATTAAACCGAGAAAAATGGAATTTTGTTTTATTGACGATCACTGAGAAATGGTCTATTATTTAAAATGCAAAAAACATTTATTATTTTCAAGGTGAAAAGGATTCATTTGCCTCGATCCACGGCGAAAAAAACATCTAAATGTCACATTTTTAATGAAGCTTCCTAAATAGTCCACTTTGGTAGATGTGTAGATGTCACGGTTTAACCCCCTCAAACGTGAAACTTACACGTTTGCGTTAACACGCTCCAGTGGAGAGCAGTGGCGTATCCAGGACATTTTTTGGGGGGTGGCCAAGATGGGACACAAAGCTAGAGTGGGGTGGCCATGGCATAGCGAAGTTAAATGCGATACGCAGCCGACCATGGATCAAATCCCGGTCCTTTGCTGCATGTCACATCCTCTCTCTCTCCCATGATTTCCTTTCTCATAACTGTCAAATAAAAGTGTCTATCCTGTTAAAAACAGTCCAAAAACAGTCCAGTCCAATTTTTTTTACGGGTCGAAATTTTGAGTTTCGATATCTCAGCTCTGGAAAGGTCTAGAGCCTCCATTGTTGCACTCAGGTCTAAGTCTCATGGTCCTCTAACAGAATCCAGAGTTTTGAGAAGATTGGGGATACTTAATTTTTCGCCCAAAAAAAAAAAAAACGTAAGGGGTAACACTGTCGGGTTTTTTTTGGGGTCGAAATTTTGAGTTTCGACATCTCAGCTCTGGAAGGGTCTAGAACCTCCATTGTTGCACTCAGGTCTATGTCTCAGGGCCCTCTATCAGAATCCAGAGTTTTGAGAAGATTGGGGATACTTAATTTTTCGCCAAAAAAAAAAACGTAAGGGGTAACACTGTCGTTTTTTTTACGGGTCGAAATTTTGATTTTCGATATCTCAGCTCTGGAAGGGTCTAGAGCCTCCATTGTTGCACTCAGGTCTAAGTCTCATGGCCCTCTATCGGAATCCAGAGTTTTGAGAAGATTGGGGATACTTAATTTTTCGCCAAAAAAAAACAAAAAACGTAAGGGGTAACAGTGTCGTTTTTTTTTTCGGGTCAAAATTTTGAGTTTCGACATCTCAGCTCTGGAAGGGTCTAGAACCTCCATTGTTGCACTCAGGTCTATGTCTCAGGGCCCTCTATCAGAATCCAGAGTTTTGAGAAGATTGGGGATACTTAATTTTCGCCCAAAAAAAAAAACGTAAGGGGTACCACTGTCGTTTTTTTTTCGGGTCGAAATTTTGAGTTTCGACATCTCAGCTCTGGGAGGGGTCTAGAGCCTCCATTTTTGCACTCAGGTCTATGTCTCATGCCCTCTATCAAAATCCAGAGTTTTGAGAAGATTGGGGATACTTAATTTTT